TTCCTCTATGAGGAAGCAAAATGGAAAAAATTGTAGTTAAACAAATAACTAAAAGTTATATAAAGATAACAATTAGCTAATATACTTTTGAAATAGCGTTCCAAGATACATCAACCGTCATGTTCCAAGATACATAAAAATAAATTTCTAATAAAGAATTAGTTAACAGCTTGTAGGTTATAAATGGGGTTATATAGTTATATGTATAGCACAGTATAGTTATTTGTGTAACAAGTGCGGGAAGTTGAGAATTGGACACGGGTGCGGAGTGGACGCACGAGCCGAAGGCGAGTTAGTGAAAAGTGGCCCATTATTGCGCGCGCGTCATCTGTGCGACGGATGGCCAATTCCACACACGAGTCGAAACAGTGCGGTAATGTTAACATGCCACTTTCCACGCACTTTGTAATATAAAATAGGGTGTGTAACACGTGCGGGTTGAGAATTGGACGCGCGTGCGGGTGATCGCACTCGCCTTCGGCTCGTGCGTCTACTCCGCACCCGTGTCCAATTCTCAACTTCCCGCATTAGTTACACAAATAACTATTACTACATTATTCTACATATTTGACACATTCTTACTAGCCTTGGCTGATAACTATATCTTTATTATAAAAAATCACAAAAATCACAGTACAAATCTCAATAAATTTACTTCACGCGTCATAAAATACAAAAGTTGATATAACTTACGTGTAAATAATCGCAACGACACAAAATTACACATTTAAAAACATCATCAAATAACTCAACAATTAGTACCATAAACTATCGCCAGATGCTAACACTGTTCGATTATGACACAGTGTTCCAACGTACAGCTGCACCCAAGGTACAGGACCTTCCCCTACTATTACTATTACACTATTAACTCTTTGATACACACAACTGTCAAAATATACGATGACAGCTCCTCATAAAGTAAGCGCAGCGAGAGTACCAATCGGCATCGCGGAAAAGCGACAACAATAAACTTCGACAGATTCGAGTATCGACTTTACATGCCTTTTTTAGATATGGAAAATATGAAATATGAAATTCTTAACAAAAAATTAATATGAAATTCTAAACGAAAGAGAGCTTTATCTTCGTGTTTTGAAAACGTCTCGACAAGAGCTACGAGAATATGGCATTAGAAATAGGGGTCCCCAATTAAGAATCACTCAATGTGACCTTGATGTGACTTTTCTAAGTTCGTTTAAGGTCAAATCAATATCACCATATGATGGGTAACTTGGTACCCTATACAACTTTTACATAAAACATTTCTTCCGAAAACGTCATATTTCCGAGATAATTCAGTAGTGTTCCGACTTTTTTGTTATACTTTCCCTAGAAAAAAATAGGTATAATATGATCAGATGTAAAAATATATAGGTACATTATTAGATATAAAAAGATCTAAATAACATTTAATTTAATATGATTATATGTAATCAGATCCAAAATTTGGCGCGATATGATGTTATCATTATGCTGTCTTGTAAATTGTAAAAGTTGAAGAGAACGAGAAAGTGATTTATAGCGCAATTTGTATTGTAGGCAATTATGCTAATTAGTTGAATTGAGTCCATTTTTATTATCCATTATTATGATAGACGTTGATTTTATACCATGGTGTCAGAAAATATTAATTATTCACAAAATTAGCAATAACAACAGAATAAATTTTGGTAAATATACAGGGTGGTAAATATACAGGTGAACAAAATAAAGCGTTACAGATGTTTATCTCCCAAAATACTGTTTGTAGAAAAACATGTTTCGTACAAAAGTTGTAGGGTTTCAAGTAACGCATTACATAACAATGTCAGTATAACCTTGAAGAGTGTTGTCAAGGTACAGTAAAAATTATCTTGAACTTTTTAAAAGGGAACCCCATTTTTTATTACATATTCACGTAGCTTACCTCGAGAGCTTTTCAAAACACTATAATATAACATTTTTTTATCAAGTACTTTTTGTGGAGTTTGAAAGTAACAATACCGCCGGCATTAGCCAATAGTGTGCGTGCGTGCGTGCTCTGTGTGTGTGTGTGTGTGTGTGTGTGTGTGTGTGTGTGTGTGTGTGT